CAGGCACTGGGACGCCGCCGCCGCAGCCGCCACTTCAACTTCTATGCTGGACCTGGTTTCGACGGCAGATGGCGGGATGACACGTAGACAACTGCCACCTAACAACATACACCACACATATGTCATTATTCATTAAAAATTCAAGTCAAGGTATAACACAGTACTATCATACATTCGAACAGCTACTGCGTCTCTTGACAGCTGCGCCGGCAGTAGCACTCCCACTACGCAAAAAGTATCCAATTCAGCATTAACCCAACCCTCAAAGCTCGCTGGTCCAGTGGCTATACGTCGCGCGTACATCCATCACAACTGGATTGTCTTACATCCCATTGTATCATCATCACAGACCTACGCATTCTGCTCAAAAGCCAAGCACCCACAGAGCCCGTACACATCCACCAGTTTAAACAAATGACGACTGAAAAGTTACTCCCTCTTCTACAGCGACTTTCACCACCATCACCCCAATGTTGGCCAGCTCACCACCTCGGTCCACTCTGGCCATTCAACTGGCTAGCTGGCTGAAGACAACCAGCATGCCACAACCTAGGATCCCACGTCTTGTCCAGCCAACCCACTGCCAAACCTACAGCCATGACAAAATCTCCCAAAAACAGGCCTCAGGCGAAACACCTTTTCATCGTCTAACTCCACAAATTTTCACAGCAGAAAGGAAATAGCTACAGCAACCCAATGAAGCACTTACCAGAAACTCGCAGCTCAGCCGCTGACGAAGAGGCCGCAGTTAACTCCTTAGGCATCGGCGGTTCTTCCCTGTCTATCTCTACACGACTCTCTGTAGCCATGTGTACACTCGCAGCTAAAATGGACACAAATTTAATGTGTGCAGATCAACATCAAAGGCAGCATCGCCTATAGCTCAGCCTAGGTTGTACAAAAAAAACAAGAAGAAGCATTACTAAATGGCCACAGTGTCCAGCTCTTAGATGCGCCGAAAGCGTCGTTCCGGTGCATATCATCCCATAGTGCCGAACCAACTTTTCAAAGTACACTCTAAAGGAATTCCGCCATTTAAAAACTGCTCCATATACCCGCCCTTTCATAACCGAATATCTTAACAATTTCATGCAAATCCCAAATGCCCCGTTCGGCGTACCCCAGTGGCACTGGGTACTTAAGGTACTCCACCACACCACTGGAACACAACTGGCTGTCGTAGATCAGCAATTCACAAATATGTGATTAGGGCTCACCATATTTCTCAGTAATCGCTTTCTGCTTAATTTACTGGTGTGAAGAAATCTTTTAAAAATGGTCCCCCTTCAAAAAAAACTGTCCAGGATCTCAGTCTGCACAATATGAATCCTCTTCATCCAACACCTCAAAAGTCTACAGAGCTATAAGACACTTACCAGAAGTTTCCGGTTCAGACGCCGTTGCCGCTAAGGAGGCCACCGTCAAATTGTTAGGCGCAACTTCTACCGGTTCATCTGCCTCCACAATTGCAGCTAAAATGGACACGCATTCAATGTACACATATAGATCAACTACAAAGTCAGCACCACCTACAGGCTCGCGACGGCATGTTCAAAATGCACAGCATGCTACACAAATGATGACTCAAACGATGCTTACCCTTCTAAAGTTGCCCTCAAAACCATTTCCACGTTGTCGGCCACTTCAACACCCTTCTCCGCCCGGGCATTCAATCGCCTGGCTGGCTAGTGACGGCTAGCATGCCAGAAATGGCCAGTCCACAATCTCTTGTCTTATGTGGTAAGCTCCCTCAGTCTAACTGATGCAACAGATGACATATCCCAACGCAGGCCCCAAACAAAACACAAGAAATCCTACTTATTCAAATCATCAAACTTTTACAGAGTTAATTTGGCGGCTTTAGTAGGCCCATGGGGCACTCACCAGGAACTCGCAGCTCAGCTTCCGACGTCGTCGTCGCCGCCGCCGTATCCACATTCTTAGGCGTCAACTCTTCATTCTCCTCATCCACCTCCCCTACATTACCGTCGGTAGTCGTCTGTACGCTCGCAGCTAAAATAGACACATATATATATGTGTGTGTGTGCAGTTAAGGCAAATGTATACATCGGCAAAGTTGCCTTTCCGGAGAGCCTTCAAACATTGACCTTGGGCGGCAGGATCGGCAATCTCCCTTTGCCTAGGCTAACGGTGTGCACAATGGACCACAAACAAAACTATCTTAAATATATGCCCTAACAAAATAAACCCTCTCATCCAAATCCTCAAATGTCTACAGCAGTAAGTGAATAGGCCGTCGAAGGCACTCACCAGAACCTTCCAGCGGCGCCACCGAGGAGGCTGTAGCCACATCCCGGGGCGTCGTCTCTTCCGTCTCCTCGACTCTTGTATGTAAGTTGGCAGCTAAAGCGTATAGACATTTGATGTATAAATATATTAACTTAGACGTCAGCATCACCAATAGCCTCAACTGAAAAAAAACCACACGCCATAGCCGCATTATATGGCCGAACCAATGGGTTCGGACACTAAACTTTTAATGTACAAACAAAACCCAACTCCTCCATCCATCAAAGTCCACCGTGCACCCATTTAACTCCTCTAATTTCTACAGAACAAAGCGAGTAGCCCGTCAAACGTTTACCAGAACCATCTAGCTCAGTGGCCGTCTTCAACACCGCCACATCCTTAGGCGCCTCTTCTTTCTTCTCCTCTTCCACATCACTCCCGACACTGCTGTGCACACTCGCAGACACACGCTTGGACATCGCCTCTTCTTTCTCCTCTTCGTCATGACGCTCGAAGCTCGTGCGTACGCCCCCAGCTAAACTGGACACGCATTCAGTGCATCATACAGCTAGTTTACTTGTACTCGTTGATGAACGTTCAACCGACGGCTAATGGGACTCATCTGTCCCGCTCTGCCTTGGGTCTCGCCAGAGGCCCTGACAGACGTAACAGCCGGCTCAATGGTTAGGGCGTTTGACTTTGATCAAAACGGTCGTTAGTTCGAGGCTCGAGTGGAGCCCCAATGGGGTCGGGGTATGACTGGCTGAGGACGGCTAATAAGCCGGAAATGGTCATTCTAGTTTTCCTTCTCTTTGCCGGCAATATTATCTAGATTACCTTCTTTAGTAAGACTGCTACATGTACTGTTTGCTGTGCTTGTTACAACTAACAACGTTTATACAGCAAGGACCAGTAATGTCAAGCTGTTGTTGCAAATGGGTATGTTATACCGGTATTTCACATGCTTAACAGAATCGGTAGGATTGGGAGCGAACGAACTACTCAAAGGCGAGTTTTATCACCTGTCAAGAAAAATGTCGAGAATGAAGCTGACGCAAGCAGTTGCCTCTCAAAACTGCAACTTTGGGGTCGAAAAATCAGACGAAATCAGCGGTTATCCCGCTGTGGCTAGCACAGCTAGACAGATAGAATTATATATTTCTTTAATCTATGCCTGCAAGTAGACTGAATAACCTCAAGGTACCAATTAATTTCTAAGGAAATTAGCCATCAACAAGCTGCGATCATTCAGAGGATGGATAAGTTGGACGCTTATTGAAGTACCAAAAACAGCCGCCTCGCATAAACTTAAGCTGAGAAAACTGCATAGACAAGAAAAACAAAGATTTAGTAAACACACCTTCCCCTCCGGCGTCTTCTTTTGGTGGCATAGAAAAGGTTATATTTAACGACGAGTCTTTGCCACTCCGTCGCGAAATATATTTTATCGACCTCTTCGGAGCCTACAAATTGAGGTTAATCATGGCAATTTAAGAAACTAGAAGGAACCCATTCACAAGACAAATAGGGAAAATTCAAAACTCCAAGAACAGGTGTTTCAACACGCTACTCCTTGCAAGTCAAATATAACGTCATTTTTCCGCTTCCTTTCTTGAGAATAAAAAAAATAGCTGTAACTAGGGAATGTCAGGTGAACACAATCTTCTCCAAAGGTGCCTATAACTACCGGAAAACTACAGATCATCTTGGACTATATTCACAAACAAAGCACAAAAGCAAGAGGGTGGGAAAATCATTGAAATGGCATTTGCTAGCAAGTAAGCATGCAGATTAATACTAGTGAGCATCGGCAAAAGTCACTTCCGAACAGGTTTCAATGGCCAAGAAAATGAATCTATTGTAAACATGGCCGAAATTAAAATGAGTAAAATGATATTCAACTCACAGGTGCCGGCAGTGTGACAGAGTCATCGTCTAAAACAGAAAGTCTGAAGGCTATATGTAATCATTGTTTCAAAGGGTGATCATAGTAGACTTGCATAGTTGCTTCCTCACGCCTTCCTCTCATATCCCCCCACCATGTTCCGATTGCAATCCAAGTAAACCGAAAGTGAGCACCGGGACAGTTGCTATTAATGTTGAACAAACTGACAATATGCGTCAGACACTAACTGGTCCTCCACATCGATTATGGTAACTTACTACTTACGTTATTTCAATAGACCTTGTATTGAATGAATGTGCTTTCCCCGATCTAGAATGGGGAACAATTAAGTTCCGCTTTGCCCAGGACATTGTATTTACATAGAAGTTAGCTCCGGTCAACATTTCATTGCAGTAATTGAGTGAACGTGTTCTACGCTGCTATTTCGCAAACGCTCACTTTTTTAATCATTCATGTTTTTTTTAAATATTTCTACAGAAAAAGGTAAAAGGTCCCTTGGGACCAGGGACCTCTGTCCTTGATCTGCTCGCGCAACGCGAGGTAGGCATCAGGAAGCTCGATATGCCTGTTAATTGAGTCCGCGTGTGAATTCCATACTTCCTGCAGCAGGCGTGAAGGTCGGTCTTCTGACTGACCCAGTATTCGCAAGCGTTCGAAGTCGAAGCCGTGCCCCTGGCGTGAATGCATGGGCGGCCACTAGGGAAAACTTGTCCTTCCGTCGCACAACGAGTAATATAGGTGCATTCTCGTGAGAAGTCGTTTGCCGGTTTCACCAACATAATTGGCTTAACCAAAAAGACAGTCGATTCGGTAAATAACACCGGATTTCTGGTTGACGGGTATTGGGTCCTTAGGCAGCACGAGCGGAAGCGGATTGTCGCTTCCGGTCAGTGAGCGACGCCAATCCCGAATTCGCTGACCAGTAGAGCGAACTCGTCGGATACGCCAGCACTATAGGATATTGCTCGCCAGTGTGTTGGTTCTGGCTGCCCCGTTAGTTTTCTTCTTTTTGCTCCTCGCCTGCATTTTTCGACGAAGCTGCCAGGACACCCATTCATTGTGAACAGTGTGAGCTGCACATTTATTTATTCCTTGACAATGAGCTCGAGGGAGGGTTCGAAACGTCGGACAAATAAACTCCTGGTCCCAGGTAACGCTTTACCTTATTCTATTCAGTTACCTGGGCCTCGCATAATCTCGACCATTCAAAATATTCCTATGTATTTTTCCATAACAAAGCGATCTGTAACATTTTTTGCCTATTGACTACCTTTCGTGGATTCTTGTACCGTTTCAGTGGAGTTTTAAGGGCTTCTGTCATTTACTTCAAATAGAGACTGATGAACTGGACCCTCGTTGGAATATCAGATCTCCTTCCTTCCAATCATTGTGCACAAAGACACGCAGAATATTTAGTTGAAAACAAAATGCCTATTAGAAAAAATAAAAAGGACTGTTTTCTCGCGCAGACTTACCCACAGGATTCAGAGTCAACTCAATGGTTGAATCTCCTTGAATAGAATGAACTGAATCCACAAGCATGCGCCGTGAACGCAAGGTACGCGGCGCCGCAGTCTAAAAAATTGAAGAAAGAACAAATGATTGGGTCTCGTAAGCAGAGGTGTAGGACGCGTAGAGCCGCTTATACGGGCATCACTTCACAAACGCACCTGGACTGTTGAAGGTCTTGGCTTTTGCGTGCGTTGATCTAAAAGTTTGAGGAAGGAGTCGAGAGTATTATCATATAGGATTGATTGAAAGGACTAAAACGATCATGGAACACAA